ACGTGCAGAACAGGGCTGGTCAGCACCGGATCTTGTAGTGCTTTAAACTTCATTCCCCCTACCCTCGTTTTGATTTTGATTTTTAAAAATAACACTTTCATCATCAGCACAAAGAACACAAATCCAAACCCAAACAAAATCCAGAGGTGAAACAAAGAGGTAGACAGTAACCACAAGGCACAGTTCTTTGGACTGCGCAATGTGCTTCGGCTCGCTCCTAAGAGTTCCATTTGTTTCTACTTTCCTATTACGGCCACTTTGCTTAAAACATTGACACTGCTTGACTAAGGATTCAGACTAATGGCGCCTCCGTGCAAACAACCAGGGCTTCCACCAGGTTTGCGTAGGACTCAACCTCGGATGGTGTTTTTATAGCACGCCCTACCCAGCCGCGTGCAAATCTGAGCTACAGTGGCAACTCACAAAAAGGGTTGTGTCATTGCACAATCACGGCCATAGAGGCAACGCCCCTTTGCGCCTGCAAATGAGTGTCTCTACAGTAGTTCTGCCAGCTTACAAAGCCACACCTTCTCCCTGTGGGGTTGCTTTTAACCTGAACCAGGCCTTAGTGTTACTAGAGCGCTGCATCACAGGACAGTAAGTCCATGGCACCCTGTATTGCTTATTTTAAGCTAAACGTTCTTTAAAGTGGTTGCATACATTTCAAACAAACAAACAAACAAACAAAGATACGTTATGGCAGCAGCCTCCTTCTTTCCCTTAAGCAACTCTGAAATGTTCATACCTTTATATTGGTCGCTAGATCTCTGCAAACATTTATGCGGTTATTACCGTGACTGAGTTAAAATGGCAGGTGACAATCCAGTCCCTTCTTGCAGAAAAAGACGAGTCTCTATGCTATTCCTGAGAGCTATAAATAGAACTATTCCAGCTGGAAGCAGAATTAACAAACCATATATTTAGCTAACACGCATACAAACTTGCAGCAAGAACAATTAACACAACCGATTCAATGTTTTATGGGAAACAAAATGAACCCGGCATATTATTTCCCTTTCTTGTCTATTAACAACTGTAACATGGAAAACAGAAACTCCGAACCCAATAATGCCATATATTTGCCTGCGAAGACGAAAGCATTTTTGGTATCTGCGGAAGTATAAAAAAAGAAGAATGTTGATTGGTTATTTATTTTGATAAATAAAAATCAACTCAAAGCACAAAATCCAAATGTGACCAGTCCTTTAACAGACTTACACCATGGTGCCTGTAATCATTCCAATCACATATGGCATAAAATAAAAGGGGAAGAAAAACAGTTACACAAAACTAAAGAATATGGCATCCCAAACCCCATCATCTTCATCACCATCAAGGAGGAAATTCAATGCAAGGTTGTACTGGACATTTAAGAAGTATAACAATAAAATGCATAGACTTTCTCAAAGCCACCATATGTTTAAGGAATTTTCGCAGACAGGTATACAACAGGACAACCTACAAGTTTTGTACAAGAGTAACAAAAGCAATTCACAACTAATTGTGATGACCTTGCAGTTTAATCTTCCAACTCCCTCCTTGCAAAACCAAGCATGTAACTCTGCAAAACATGCTATTTCATACGTTCATTTTCATGTGGCTCCCCTCCCCCCTGCAACCTCTCGCCAGTATGGTAGCTTCAGCTGTAAGCTTCACTGTGTTTGTTTTTGGGAGAAACAGAAATCCACGGCCAAAGGCCAAGTGTCAGTGCCATTCCTTCATACCAACCTGTACGCTGAGAAGTCCAGAAAGAAATTCATTAACTTTGGTCCCAAGTGCATGTAACATTTTGTCTAGAGGAAATTCTCAAAGCCTTAACTGCTGCCCCACACAGCTGTTTGGTATCCTTGTTTTCTACGGACAGATGGGATGATGCACTGAACAGTCAAGAGGACGGAAGGCAGCTTTGGGGCACAGAACACCAAGTGCTGCAGCGTTAGGATATAATAAGGGAGTCCCCATTAAAATGAAAAGAAGCTGTGGAGTAGATGTTAGTAGGTTAGGCATGGTTTGCATAATTGTATTAGACTGGCCCAGTTCACAGACTCATGCTCTATCTCTCAATGAGCCATCACTTAACATTACTTCGCAATGCAATGCTTTTCCATAAAAGCAGTTCGCACATTCAGTTGTGAGTCATATGCTGAACAAACCAAGTTGCAAAAACACGTTTGCAGACCAGACCTGACATCCCTCATATTTTGGCTGGATTTCAAAGGAGTATGGTCTTGCTTCCTGAACACCACAAAACCTTTGGATCTTTAAAGTAAGGTTTACAATTGTAACTTAAGTTCTTGCTAAAAACAGCATATTGTGTAAACGTTAAGAAAGCTTGCAGAACAGTGACTATCAACTCAAAGAGTGGGGAGGAAGGGATCTGTGTGAATGGCACGCATCACTTTAAAGCGGTTAAGGCCGTGATGGTTTCTTGTTAATAAAAGGTTAGCCTTCAAAACGCTTACAATCTTCTTCAGTTGATGTTTTACACTACCTAGTTAACATACTGGTGCAAATTTGCAAGGCTAAGAATAGGTTCAACTGAATCTCCAACACCCACACCAAACCTGAGAAAGCATCGTAATTTTTATCCTTGTGTTTTCTACTGTTCCATAATGCTTAAATGGAACTATCTTATGTAAAACCGTTAAGATTTGTTAAAACAATGTTCCACTGGGCATATTATTCTACATAAACTATGCTGGATAGAAAATAAATATGCAGGCCATAGTAAATTGAGCTTTGTGAGTGGGTGTTTGCCATCCACCATTCAGGCTTTGCCAAAGCAGCCCTCATTATCGTGGAATGCTCTCCCCAGGGAGGTTCGGCTGCTGCCTTCATTATACACCTTTTGGCGCCAGATGAAAGCGTTCCTCTTCAAGCAGGCCTTTGGCCAACTAACATCTGATGCCCTTTTAAGTGTGCTGTGGGAGGGAGGGATTAAGTGTTTGTTTTTGTTCTTATTTTTATCATGTACTTTGTGTTCTTTATGTTGTAATTCTACAGATGAAGGGCAGTATACAAATTTAATAAATAATAAAATAATTATTGTTCAGAGTCAATTCTAACATTACATCCTCCAGTCACGCTGCTGAAAAATGCATGTATGTGTGTTATGAGAGTCACAATTGCCAGGTGAGTTTTGCATGATGACCCCAACGCATCAAGATATGTCCCATGGCTGCTAATGCCCGTAAGATGGCATACAAGTATGGTAAGCTTCAGCATGGGATGAGCTGGCTCTACACTGTTTTTCAGAGAGAAAGCAAGGGTGCCTATTGGAAGTAGTTCAAGGCAAATTAGTGGTCCCTTCCCAATCTTCAGCTATTCTGATACAATTATATAAATGCACCTCTTTCATTGTATGCATACATAAGAGGAACATGAATTGTAAGGTGAGCTAGCTGCTGCAAAGATGGAACTGCGAGGTGCTCATCTAGATGACTCGAACAAATGGATTAAAGTTACAAAAAAGGAGACTCCGACTAAACATGTCTGATGTTTTATTCTGTTTTTAAATGTGTTGGAAGCTGCCCAGGGTAGCTGGGGCAACTCAGATGGGTGGGACTTAAATAACAAAATTATTATTATTATTAGGAATAACTTTCTGATGGTAAGAGCTGTTTAACAGTGGAACGGACTCCCTTGGAAGTTGGTGGACTTCACTGGAGGTTTTTAAGCAGAGGTTGGATGGCCATCGGTAGTGTGATCTAGTTGAAATTCCTGCATTGCAGGGGGTTGGAACTGATGACCCCCGGGGTCTCTTCCAACTCTACAATTTGGATACAGAATTGTAAGATACTGTCTTATGTGGGATTAGGTGATGCAAAAGATGTTGAGGAAGTTCATTATATTCCAAGAGGCAATGAATCCCCTGTCTCCTCTTTGTAAGAGGCAGACAACCCAGGACAATGTCCACTAATGAGAACAAAAGAGCCTGCTGGAAGAGGCCAATGGCAGCATCCTCTTCTCAGAGTGGCCAACCAGATGCCTATGTTGAAGCCTCACTCACTAGGAAATGCTGTATTAAATGGAAGGCTCAAGCCACCATTAACACAGGGTGTTTTCAACTGAACTACTGTACTCAAAAACAGACGGGACCAACCTACTGCATATATACAGCGTTTCATGTAAAAATGTTCTGTTAACTAACTTTCCATTCTTCTGTATTCCCCAAATGTACTCTGGATTTGGTTCTGCTGAATTCAATGCAGCCATAGCAGAACAAACAGGAAGTCTGATGAAGCAGCACAACGCATACCTAGCATTTAGATGCAAGCATGGGCATAGCCAAGAGGGGGCAGGGGGAGAAGATGCACCCCCATCAAGTAAAACAATAGAAATACTTAACTGACCAATCATGTCGGTTCTGCCTCCCCTAACAAAAGTCCTGCCCCCCCCCAATCCTGGCTATGCCCATGGATGCAAGAATTCATTTTCAGTATAATCATGCCCTTCCTAAAATAGGTCGCATGTCCAAATAAATTATACACTAAAACAGCAGCTGCTGCTTTGCATCCCAGTTCAAGATGTTTGTCATTCAGGATCGAAGCCACATACACCATTACCAGAAATGAACTCCGTAACAAATGAAGCAAACTGCTTGCTATAACTCAACAAGGCAAGGAGGATTAAAAACCAAAGAACTCTGGCCACTCCCACCCCCCCAAAGGCTTCCTTCTGCAAGAAGTGCTTTACTTAAAATGGATTTAATTTCTATATTTTAGCCTTAAGTTTGCATGAAGTTCAAAAAGCAGTTCTGAATGGCAACCCACTTTTTGCCTTGTATCTGCAGTGGTCTCATTCCAGTGAAATGTACCGGAGTTATCTTCTAGAATGAATGGCAGATGTTGCCATCATCCATGCTAAAATGCATTTCATTATTTAAAAACACTATTCGCCTGTATTCAGTAAAGTGACATTTCATTCCCATAGCTAGGGGAAATTCAGCTCTTCCCATTCCCCCTCTTCCCCACTCAAAGCAAAAGAAAAAAGGATGATGCTGTGGTTTTATATTTTTATTTTGTATACTACTCACCAAAATTGGTTCTCATGTGATTTTTTTTTGGGGGGGGGGGAACCAGGAGAATATATACCTCAAACTTAGCACAGACAACTACTGTTGGCTTGGCTTGGCTCTTAGAAAAACTTACAGTCCATAAAAAGACAACATTCTGTCATTCAAGCTTCGTTTGCACGTCTGTATGTGGAAATTAGGAACTGTTTCCTAGGAATGGTTCTTTTTAAATATATCTTCATATAGTGATACAGACAGGATGCCAAACGTTCCAAGAGTGATAGGTAACAAATATCTTTCCTTCAAAACCATTATAAAACTGTAACATTATAACCTGAAATCCTGCTTTAGTGCCAGTCTGCCTCTTAAATTAAAATTCCCTTTCTATGACAGTGACACTTTTCGGCAAGATGGCAGATTTCATAACGCTCTTCATGGTTCAGAGAATTTTTACATTAGTTCAGGATGGTAAAGCAAACGTTTTACCCAGTGACTAGACATACTGTTTATTTTATTTTTCCTATAAGCAAAGAATTGTGGCGCTTGGCATAAACTCTCACATGGATGTTCCAGGTACTGTTGTGTCAAATGGAAATAAAGGCCTCTATAAAGATTAAAAACAACACCCACCCATATCATCTGGGCTAGACTGTGGCAACAGGTACACACTTCAGGGATGGCAATCCACAGACCTTTCTGAACTGCTAACAGCTATCAAGAATCCAATCTGTCATGGACAGCATCTAAATTCCTTTCAAGCTATGCTCTTTTCTATCACTGCATTGCATTTTCAAAATTGTTTTGCAAAAAAGAAAAAAGATCCCAATTTACAAAATGCATTGTAAAACCAAAACGGGAAGCGGGTTGTGTGATGTGCCATATGTGAAGTACCTTTACAAGAGGATGCTCTCAAGAGATTTGAAGACAGAAAACATGGTAAGAACAGATGAGTCAATGAGGTATGCACAATTTCTTCAATACTTCATGACACAGTTAATGCCTTTTGCAGAGCGCTTTTCCTTTTCTAGCTTTCCCATACAAGATCTCACTGAGATATTTTTTTTCAGAAGAAGAAGAAGAAGAGAGAGAGGTCTCTACTAAACAGGTAACATGGGGCAGTCACAATACCATAACCAGGTCTGCAGAGTACATCAAACAGATCCAGCATGATTAATTACAATACAACTTGAGCTTGTGCAGATGAGGGATCTCTACCACAAGACTTGCAGTACAGGCTACTGGAGAGAAAGTTGCTGAAGATTCCGAGTTTTTACTACAATGCTGAATACTACCTGCGGTGAAAGCAATCTTGCTGCAGATGTTCACCTGTGGTGGTTGTATAATTGTGTCTCCTGTTCAAACACCGAATTTGCTGACGTGGATGTGCGAGGAAGGCACACCCTTTAAAAATATGGACAGTTCTTAAAATACATCATTAGGTTGCTGTGTTACTGATTCTCTCTCCTAGCGGAGTTTAAAATTCCCGAAGGGGGAGAAAGTCCATCCAGTAATGTTCCTTTATCCTGGTATATTCACATTTGAACATAACATGATGCACTCTATAAAGTACCAAGTTCCTCTTGTTCTTAGGTCCCATTCATTCACCTTTTAAAATAGGCATTGATAAAAATACTGAAGAATGCAGTACCACATACCACCTGACAAAAACGCAAACAACTGTACGAGTATTAGCCACAAATTGCTAAGGGTCATCTCCCGGGAAACAATTTCTGTCTGTCCCTGCAAAGGGGGGAACGCTCCTGGAAGAGAAGGAACAGTCTGTTAGTTGCATATTCCAGCTGCCTTTTCAGAGTGTTGCCACATCATGGATAGAACAAGAACTCGGTGCAATGCAGATGTAGAACAGCACCTTATTCATCAAGATACAGGTTACTCAACAAGCCAGACTTTAAAAATCCTTCTCATAACATAATTAAGTTTTGCTAGTGTGTTTTCTTCTTCTTTGCAGTAGGAGAAAAGGCAGAATTGGATCTACAGGATTTTGGATTTGTTTAGCTTCTTAATGTAAAGGTAAAGGGACCCCTGACCATTAGGTCCAGTCGTGACTGACTCTGGGGCTGCGGCGCTCATCTCGCTTTATTGGCCGAGGGAGCCGGCATACAGCTTCTGGGTCATGTGGCCAGCATGATTAAGCTGCTTATGGCGAACCAGAGCAGTGCACGGAAACGCCGTTTACCTTCCCGCCGGAGCGGTTCCTATTTATCTACTTGCACTTTGATGTGCTTTCGAACTGCTAGGTTGGCAGGAGCAGGGACCGAGCAACGGGAGCTCACCCCGTCGTGGGGATTCAAACCGCCAACCTTCTGATCGGCAAGCCCTAGGCTCTGTGGTTTAACCCACAGCGCCACCCGCGTCCCTGTTCTTCTTCTTAGGCCCTCCTTAATTTTCCTGAATTTCAAGTGAAATTAAGGAAGCAACGGCTGCGCCATTTCTGCAAAGAGACAGCATGAGAATGGCTTGGCAGATTTGTATACACATTAATATACTGGATGTGTGGCGTATGTAGTAATTAGAAACATAGAACTGTAGAGTTGGAAAGGATCCAAAGGGCAGGTTAAGCTATTTATTTGTAAAGGAACCTCCAGCTACAGATGGTATCAGATTTCCCTAATATGCACAGGGTGGGGAGCTGATTACTTGGATCTTCCTAGAGAAAAAGGGCTCAATCAGTTAGGCCAGGCTTCTTCAAACTTGGCCCTCCAGATGTTTTTGGCCTACAACTCCCATCATCCCTAGCTAGCAGGACCTGTCGTCAGGGATGATGGGAATTGTAGTCTCAAAACATCTGGAGGGCCGAGTCTGAGGAAGCCTGGGTTAGGCTTTCAGAATGAGATTGTAAACATTTGTTAAGAACTACCTCGGGCAGCATGGTAGCAGCATATAAAGTTAAAATAACGCGTGCGTTTTAAAATGCTTCAGTGCTCACTGGGGAATCTTCCTCCAATTCAGCATTACCACTGTTTACAAGTTATGCTTTCCCCTCTTCACATGTCAGAACACTCCCTCCAGCTACTGTGGAAGGAGAATTTTCCAGTTGCCCTTCCCAAAGGCTCATGCCGCTCTGTATCTAGACTCGTATGCAATAGCATCACGAAGTGCAGCAAGACAGTAAGAGAATATGTAACGCCAACTTTTGCATTACCCGCATGGCTGATCCCATGCCTGCATCTTAAAATTCATGCTGCAACAAAAGCCCTACTGAATGAGGCTTACTTCTGAGTAGACACGTAAAGGACTGGGCTGAAAGTGGCACGTTCAATACTTTTTTAAAAGAGTCATTTCTATATATTTTATTTATTAACAGGCACATAATAAAGCCAACATTATATAAAAAAAGAAAAAGTTCTGCAAAATTCAGGTACGTTAGAAATGCAATGCCCAAGACCTGAGATGATAAAGAGAGATGGGGTTGCTTGGGGAAAACCCAGGAAAATTGGGAGAAACCATAGGGCTTTCCCAATTTTTCCATTTTGGGGGTGGGAGCGGAGGTAGAACAAGAAAACAAACCAACAGAAAAATTGGGAGAAAATGTCCACCTTCACATCTCTAATGATAGTGGGCAGCCTAATCCTGGGCTTCTAATTAGTTGACCATTAAGTGAAAACATGCTTGAAAGGAGCTGAGTATTAAAAATGCTTGCTTTTTATCTTAAGAAAGTGTTACCTGTTTTGTAAAAGTGTGACAAAAGATCCTCCTTTTCAATGAACCGTTGATATAACCAAATGGTGAGGGCTGCAGGCTCAACAGGTACATCTTTAATTGGAAAAATCCTGCATTTCAAAGACAGACAGAACAGTACACTAGACATATGAAATAATTTCCCATTTGTAAGGTGAATCAGGTGAACTCTGGAACAGGACCTGGCATATTCTCCACTATTTATTCATTCTATTCACAGAAGAACTGTTTGCATAACCCATTACACTTTTTTAAAAAGTGACCCAATTGTTGGACTCATCTCTTGCAACAATCTTTAGGGACACACGTCAAATACCTTAGATTCAGGTAGGTAGCTGTCTGCGTCTGACGCAGACGAAATTAAAAAAATAAATAAAATGTCCAGTAGCACCTTAAATGTAAAGGTACCCCTGCTCGTACGGGCCAGTCGTGTCCGACTCTAGGGTTGTGCGCCCATCTCACTTAAGAGGCCGGGGGCCAGCGCTGTCCGAAGACACTTCCGGGTCACGTGGCCAGCGTGACAAGCTGCATCTGGCGAGCCAGCGCAGCACACAGAAACGCCGTTTACCTTCCCGCTAGTAAGCGGTCCCTATTTATCTACTTGCACCCGGGGGTGCTTTCGAACTGCTAGGTTGGCAGGTGCTGGGACCGAGCAGCAGGAGCGCACCTCGCTGCGGGGATTCGAACCGCCGACCTGATGATTGGCAAGTCCTAGGCGCTGAGGTTTTACCCACAACGCCACCCGCGTCCCTAGAGACCAATTAAGCACCTTAGAGACCAATTAAGTTTGTTCTAGGTATAAGCTTTCGTGTGCATGCACACTTCTTCAGATACACTTCTTTTCAAATACCTTAATTAAAGGTAAAGGTAAAGGGACCCCTGACCATTAGGTCCAGTCGTGACCGACTCTGGGGTTGCGGCGCTCATCTCGCTTTATTGGCTGAGGGAGTACAGCTTCCAGGTCATGTGGCCAGCATGACTAAGCTGCTTCTGGCGAACCAGAGCAGCGCAAGGAAATGCCATTTACCTTCCCGCCGGAGCGGTACTTATTTATCTACTTGCACTTTGACGTGCTTTCGAACTGCTAGGTTGGCAGGAGCAGGGACTGAGCAACGGGAGCTCACCCCATTGCAGGGATTCGAACCGCCAACCTTCTGATTGGCAAGTCCTAGGCTCTGTGGTTTAACCCACAGTGCCACCCGCGTCCCTATACCTTAATTAGTCAAATGCAATCAATCTAAGGGCGTGTCTAAGCAAAAAAAGAAAGAAAAAGTCCTCACCTGTTGGTAAAAGACTATTAAAGAGGAGGCAAAACAGTTCTCCCTAGGAAGGAAGATGCAGTCATTGCAGCCACTAAGGAAGCTCTCCTTGTCAACGCACCCATTTTTATTTTTATTTTGCAAAATGCAGACTCTGAAAGTTCTTATATTCAAACATTGGTTCCCTGTACCAAACCAGTCCGATTCATATTTCACAATGAGGAGCGTCCATCAAGTATATTTATCCTGGCACATTTCTTCTCCAACTTTCCTCTGCTCCTTTCTCAAGGCCAGTTCCCATTGTATCTTCAACCTTTATCATTCTATTCATATGTAAATAAAACATGTCTGCACATATGCAGTGCCTTCTGTTCCTGAACTCCTTCTAGTTCCCTGGATTCAGAATTTCAATCTAGTAAGCAAAGTATGGACAACTAGTATGGCCCTATATTTTGGAAAACAAGCCTCCTCGGGAGAAACTGGCAACTCCCGGCTTGTTCACCGGTGACCTCCCTGGCTGCAATCCCCGCAAGTCCAGGGTAGATCTCAATAGGCGACATTTCCCAGCCCGGAAAATGCACACCCCCTTCTCCCCCTTGCTTCCCTAGCAGGGAAAGAAGTTAGCCAGAAAGTCCTTTAAGGTAAAGGTACCCCTGCCTGTACGGGCCAGTCGTGTCCGACTCTAGGGTTGCGCGCCCATCTCACTTAAGAGGCCGGGGGCCAGCGCTGTCCGGAGACACTTCCGGGTCACGTGGCCAGCGTGACGAAGCTGCTCTGGCGAGCCGGCACCAGCGCAGCACACGAAAACACCGTTTACCTTCCCGCTATAAAGCGGTACCTATTTATCTACTTGCACTTAATTGTGCTTTCGAACTGCTAGGTGGGCAGGAGCTGGGACCGAAGATGGGAGCTCACCCCGCCGCGGGGATTCGAACCGCCGACCATACGATCGGCAGGTCCTAGGCACTGAGGTTTTACCCACAGCGCCACCCGCATCCACCTTTACATCTTGTTTATTTCTGACTTTGCAGCACTACAGAAAACATGTCCGAACAGTTCAGTGTTCAGCAAGCAAGTGGCAAAGACTTCCTTCACATACGCAACAGGAAGGTCTCATATTACACACTTCACAAAGACTTTTCCAGCCTGTGAACTTCCGGGAAGATTCTTTCCCACAGCTAGCCTCATCATGTGATGTAAACATCGAGCTGGTTTGCAGCTGCGTTGCATTCATATCGTAACATCGTATATCCCTGCCACCTGCCGCAAATGAGAGCGTTTGGGGGGCAATTCTGCACCAAACAGGAGTTTTCCTTAATGTCAGAACCGCATCATTTATGCCACAACAGCCAGGGTTAGTCCTCAAAGGAAGAGCATCCTTTAGTGCCATCACCATAGCACTTAACCCTATGCCCCAAATATTCCAGAACACAAGATCAAACTGCACCCCCCTCAAGCCTTCATTATACATATCATAATAGGATGGCTAACTAGAGGAACATCATTTCATTGCCCCATCACAAAAAGTTAATTTACTGAATGGAAAATTTCACGCTCACTTCAACCACCAAATATTTATCTTACTCATTTCACCAATAAATTCCCATTCACATCACCACAGCCTCTCTTTTTCTCTTGCTATTGCGTTTTAGCTTCAACAAGCCTGGAAGATATCGAAAGGTCAAGAAAGTAGCTGCTCTCCACTCTCATTAGCGAGCTCTTTAACGTAAGTGCCTTTTGGCTTCTCTTATGTAAGACTGCTGTGCACTGGCCTTCAAGTTAAAGGCATGAAATGACTAGTTGAGTTTAGTCTCCAAAAAGAAAGTCTTTCATAATAGGATTCTGTTTGCTATTCCACCTTTCATTCGCTCTTCCTACACTGTTATGTTTTCATTACCTTCAGCAGATTTCTGAGTGCTATTTAAACTCTAATTCACAACACTGAAAAGATTTGCAGGAACAGGCTGCAGCTGTGTGTGCAATGTTTTATACAATACACATTCTCAAGGGAGACCTGGGAGGTGACTGAATAGGATTATGAAGTGCCAGGTCTCAGCTCTGTTCAAATGTTCTTCTCCACCCAAGCATTTCCACCACTGATCTGTCATCCTGGTCTCCTGGATTCACAATTGCATGCATACCAGTAGATTCGACTTGACCATTGGTCTTAGCTCTCTCCCTTAATGCTTCAAGTGGAAGGTTCACCTTTTTAATGTTTAAAAACTGCTGCATGGCTTTCAATTGTCACCATATAAAGTACAAAACTGCTCCAGGGGTTACATGGGAGGGTAAAATGTTCCTTGATAGTATCACAGGCAACTGAAACTGTGCACAGCTGGCTTCTGCTGAAATTATGCAGAACATTTTCTACGGAGCTGAACTCTGGAACGGTAAGTGGACTGAAGAAAAAGGGGAACATGCATTTCTAAAATAAATATGATAAACCCACTTGACTATTTTTGTATCGAATATAATAACCCTCCTTAAACCCTTCTCTCCTTCCGCTGTGTGCCAGCTTCAGCCTGAAGATCTTGGCTTGTTCTAAAGCAGAGTTTTGCATCACACAAAAAGTGGGGGAATCTGGCTTAATGCAGGTCAGGATCTTCATGGCGAAGCCAGAGTGTGATGGAAGCAGCAAAGGGGTAAGGGGGGAGTACTTGTTACTGGATTCATAAACCAGACAGGAATGGCTGTCCAAACTGGACCCGAGAAAGAAAGAACAGAAGAAAACAGTAAATGCTGACCCTTCTCCTCTTCCAAATATATTTCTCCCAAGTTATTTCAGGCAACTCAACAGAGAAGCAACTTAGTGGCCAGACTTAGTGATAGGTCACTGTGGAAAGGTGGGCTCAACCCCCACTCTCTAGCCTGCACTCAGTGGTCTGTTAGTTGTAGGCTTTATGCATTAAAACTAAATTTAATTGGCCCCCACTATTCAGTAATTTTTCCAAAGCCTCTATCAACTTGCTTTGTGTCACTATCAGAGGACCACTTTATGCTGTGTGTGGCAAATCCAGGGTAGATACATTGAAAGCGAGTCTTGTAGTAAACACTACTATTGTTTGCATGTAAACGCATGGTGGACATATGGCAGGTGAACGCAAGACTAACCAGACTTCTTTGGCAAATGTGCATGACTGATGTCTGACGTCACACCTGATGAGCAGGTCTTGGTGATACACCTGTTCATCCATGATCAAAGCATGGATCCGCATGGTTTATTGCAGACTGACCTGGCATTCAGCATTCTTCATTACAGATGTCACGGGCAGACCCAGTAAATGTTTGCCACATTTGCAAGAGCCACATTGTATGATGTTATGTAAGATCACCATGGATGGATGGATAGGGTCTCTATGTCTAATTATTAGCCAAGTGAGAAACAACTTCCTTGCTTTGGTTTTCAAAAGACACATTTGACCACAACTGAAGTACTGGCTTTAATTCAAGGAGTATGCTGTTATAGTCTGACTTTCTTATGCTTGTTGTTGTTTAGTCGTTTAGTCGTGTCCGACTCTTCGTGACCCCATGGACCAGAGCACGCCAGGCACTCCTGTCTTTCACTGCCTCCCGCAGTTTGGTCAGACTCATGTTTGTAGCTTCCAGAACGCTGTCCAACCATCTCGTCCTCTGTTGTCCCCTTCTCCTTGTGCCCTCAATCTTTCCCAACATCAGGGTCTTTTCCAGGGAGTCTTCTCTTCTCATGAGGTGGCCAAAGTATTGGAGCCTCAGCTTCAGGATCTGTCCTTCCAGTGAGCACTCAAGGCTGATTTCCTTAAGAATGGATAGGTTTGATCTTCTTGCAGTCCATGGGACTCTCAAGAGTCTCCTCCAGCACCATAATTCAAAAGCATCAATTCTTCGGCGATCAGCCTTCTTTAGGGTCCAGCTCTCACTTCCATACATCACTACTGGGAAAACCATGGCTTTAACTATACGGACCTTTGTTGGTAAGGTGATGTCTCTGCTTTTTAAGATGCTGTCTAGGTTTGCCATCGCCTTTCTCCCAAGGAGCAGGTGTCTTTTAATTTTGTGACTGCTGTCACCATCTGCAGTGATCATGGAGCCCAAGAAAATAAAATCTCTCACTGCCTCCATTTCTTCCCCTTCTATTTGCCAGGAGGTGATGGGACCAGTGGCCATGATCTTCGTTTTTTTGATGTTGAGCTTCAGCCATATTTGCGCTCTCCTCTTTCACCCTCATTAAAAGGTTCTTTAATTCCTCCTCACTTTCTGCCATCAAGGTTGTGCATATCTGAGGTTGTTGATATTTCTTCCGGCAATCTTAATTCCGGCTTGGGATTCATCCAGCCCAGCCTTTCGCATGATGAATTCTGCATATGCTATTGATGAATTCTTTCTTATGCTATTGGGAGGTAAAAAACCTCACTTTTCCCCAGAAACTTCTATCTACAAACATACACCCCCAAGTTACCTTATTGAAAATAATTTGCTTGTCCAAAAATGAAGAAAGCAATGTGAAAATTTTATTTCAAGCCAGTCATATTCCAAAATACAAGTACCTAATGTATTTTTCCCAGGTCTCAATTTAAAATTAACAGAAGACAAACATATTTGTCCTACCTGTAATGTACATGTGTAATTGTTGGTCGCCTGTAGCCAAGAATCCAGGTCTGGATGTCTAGGGGTTCAGCTTTGGGATATGCAATGGTTGTATCTATCACCCACTGAAGACCTTTTGATTTACTTTCTAAGAAAGGGGATTATAGAACAAAAGAAAGGAAACAGAAAGAGTATGATTTTCAATTCTTAGTATCATACTTCTGTTCTAATACAGTACATCACGCCAACTCATTTGATAATAATCTGCATTCTATGATTTGATGAAATACCACCATACTACACAATGCCAAAGCAGGCAGGAACATGTTCAGCTCTTACTTCTCCAATTAGAGAATTGGCAGAAAACTCCCTTATATTCCAAATCATAATATACAAAAATGGCTATCCTTGACCATGACGTCATACATTTCAATTATTTAAATTCTGGTTATCCAAAGACCCCACTTCATCTCCCTCCCTCCCCAATCCCTCTCACCCTGTTCTCACAAAAAAAATAATAATCTACCTTGTATCTTCCATATAGCCCTAGGAAGGAATAATTCAAGGTGTATTATTAGCACTGCTGCTTGCTTTAAAGAACTTCTTATTGAAATACATTGATGTTTCTATGGCTGTATGTACATTAGTAGGATTATTCAGATATACAATGTGAGGATGTTTTAATAACAACATAGAATCATAGGATTATAGTTGGAAGGGACCCTGAGGATCATCTAGTCCAGCCCCCTGCAATGCAGGAATATGCAGCTGTCCCATACGGGGATCAAACCTGCATCCTTGCCATTATCAGCACCATGCCCTAACCACCATGATTTAAATTATCAATAAGCATTAAAGGTACACCATTAAATTTCTGGCATTCTGTCAACAAGTGAGATGCTAATTAAGCCAAGCACTTAAAAAGCTTAACCTAGTGCCATGTTCGGTGTAGGAGCACTTTCTCCTTGGGCAGAGGAAATGACATACGTCTGATACACCGCTGAAGCCTGCAAGTGCTTGCAACCTCTGGTCTCAACAGGCTTAGTACACAAATCTGTTTTCAATACCAGGATCAGCATGGAATGTATGAAGTAGTATCAAAGATGACATGGCAACCTACTAATATATTTGTTTTGGCGTAAGTTCTCATCGCCTAGAAACCTTTCTTCTCTTAGTTACTCATTCTCTTTCAAGCTTTCAAAAGCTTCTTCATCACACTTTCTCAATGCATACAGAGCCCTTTCAAAATATTTTTTAGCAAACAAAATAGCGGCTATTATTTAATAACTCTTTAACACAACAATATATAGATACACATTTTAATTTATAGCCCATTTACATTAACACTTCATTACTATTTAAGTAGAAGTTTTAAATCACAGGAAACCATATATTCACAATCAATGACTAGAGGATATTCTCAACGCCAAGGAAAAAACCATCATCATACCTAAGAAAGGAAGCCTTCATGGAAACAAGAACCAAAGTACTGTATGCCAAACTGGTTTATGATGACAAAACTACCATGAAAATAATTGAGAGAAAGAGAGCAACTGAGATAAAGTTAAGCATGTTTTATTTTCACCCAAATTAATTGGCTAACATATTTGAAAGGTTTATATGTTGCCTCTCAGCTAAATAGCATTCAAGGTATCTTAGCCACAAAATAACTCAACCACCATAAAAAATACAAAACAGGAGGAGAATAAAATACAGGTGGCAACCATTGTGCGTGGGGGCTTCCATGCTGGCCCCCGCATGTGTCAGCAGAGCGCACAAATGCCCTCGCTGCTGCCCTGTTCTGTCCACCATTCTGCCCTCTTCCAGGTCCAAAAGGACCCCTTCATTGGCAGTTGTGTGTCAACTGGACACACACAAAGTTATCACCACCTGTAGCGCGCAGACATAAAATTACGGACAAAAGCGGCCGTTAAAATACAGTCATACCTCGGGTTACAGATGCTTCAGGTTGTGTTTTTTCGGGTTAAAGGTAAAGGTACCCCTGCCTGTACGGGCCAGTCTTGACAGACTCTGGGGTTGTGCGCCCATCTCACTCAAGAGGCCGGGGGCCAGCGCTGTCCGGAGACACTTCCGGGTCATGTGGCCAGCGTGACAAAGCTGCATCTGGCGAGCCAGCGCAGCACACGGAAACACCGTTTACCTTCCCGCCAGTAAGCGGTCCCTATTTATCTACTTGCACCTGGGGGTGCTTTCGAACTACTAGGTTGGCAGGCGCTGGGACCGAGCAACGGGAACGCACCCCGCCACGGGGATTCGAACCGCCGACCTTTCGATCGGCAAGCCCTAGGCGCTGAGGCTTTTACCCACAGCGCCACCCGTGTCCCGTGGTTTTTCGGGTTACGGACTGCCAAAACCTGGAAGTACCGGAACGGGTTACTTCCGGGTTGCGCTGGTTGCGCATAAGTGCCGAATTGCAACCCGCGCGTGCGCAGACGCACCGCTGCGGGTTGCGAACGTGCATCCCACACGGATCACGTTCGCAACCCGAGCGTCCACTGTAATATAATCATGTGTCACATTTTAACTGTATGCTTTATTCTCCACATAGTGCACTGGCCCGTAACTCTGTGACATGTATGCCTTTCAAAGGCATACTTCTTATGCATATAATGGACTGCTGAGAAACCTTAAGCCAAAGGACAGGTTGATTTGTTTCAATAAATATGTGTAATGCATTATGATTTCTGCCAAGAGCGACAACATTGCAACAGGAAAGAGATGGTTCCCAAACCCCTTCCTTACATTCTTGACACATAGATCTCAAGCAGCCAAGCTATTTTGATCTTTCCAATTAGAATACTTTTGTTCTGCATTAGAAGACACTGAGAGTTTCTTTTCAGCAAATGGTCCAATTACCCTGGTGTGCTGGACTTAGCAGCCAGCTACATCAACTTTTCCCTCCAGGGACTGCTTGTTTTGTTTCAGGTTTCATCCTGGCTTCCACTTCTTCCATGCTATATATGTTGATATTCAAGCAACCCTGGAAAATTAAACCCGTAATTCCCCCAAGGGTCATCTGCACACATTGGAAGCCAGTATAGGCTACCTTGCATCGCAGAAAGAAATTACAGCATGAAGAAAGTAGCTCTCATTGCTCTCTCCATTTCTGTTCTTAAAACCAAAAGATAGAAAAGGAGATGTTGCAAGTAGCACTAGCTCCAACCCACACGTACACACTCTGCAAACAGTTGAGGGAGCCGCTATAAAAGCAATAGCTACAGTGTGCTTATGTGCCCTGACCAGTGACCTGATCTGCACACTCTGTCTCTGCCAGAGGCGAAAGGGGAAGAGTGAGAGAGCAAACATGCACAAGCTCCACAGCCACACTGTATTACTGTACTTCCCCAACTAGATAAGCAAAAAGAACTGTTCTTCCACGCTCTTCCTCTTTTCTGAAAACAGAGGAATATCTGTGTCCTAGTGTGCAGTGATGGGGACCACGAACGTAAGACGCTGGCTCATACAGAGTCAGACCATTTGTCCATCTAGCTCAGTGCTGTCTATGAGACCAGTGGCATGTCAAGGCTGGACCACAGTCAATGAGTGGCCTGGAGAGTCAGGACTCCATGACCACCAGTACCTGAGGGCAATCCAGAAAGCTGGACCAGGGAACAAGCCAGGGGTCTGGACCAGCAAACAAGACCACAGAGGCAAGTTGTGATAGAGTCAGGTAGACCTTGTGGTTTGAAAAAGGGTCAGCTGAAAAATAAAGTGCTTTATACCCCTTCCTGCCTGGGCCAGCCTAAGAGAGAAGATTCTTCCCTGATCTGGTGCTGCACATGGCTCAATGCATGGGGAAAATGGGCGGCAGTTCTTTACACAGCAGCTCTCTGGTGTTGATAACAGGATTTTTTTGTGCCCTAGCTGAAAGATGCTAAAGACACAACCAAGGGTCTTCTTTGTGCAGATAGAATCATAGAATCATAGAGTTGGAATAGACCACAAGGGCCATCGAGTCCAACCCCCTGCCAAGCAGGAAACACCATCAGAGCACTCCTGACATATGGTTGTCAAGCCTCTGCTTAAAGACCTCCAAAGAAGGAGACTCCACCACACTCCTTGGCAGCAAATTCCACTGTCGAACAGCTCTTACTGTCAGGAAGTTCTTCCTAATGTTTAGGTGGAATCTTCTTTCTTGTAGTTTGGATCCATTGCTCCGTGTCCGCTTCTCTGGAGCAGCAGAAAACAACCTTTCTCCCTCCTCTATATGACATCTTTTTATATATATTTGAACATGGCTATCATATCACCCCTTAACCTCCTCTTCTCCAGGCTAAACATGCCCAGCTCCTTTAGCCGTTCCTCATAAGGCATCGTTTCCAGGCCTTTGACCATTTTGGTTGCCCTCCTCTGGACACGTTCCAGTTTGTCAGTGTCCTTCTTGAACTGTGGTGCCCAGAACTGGACACAGTACTCCACAGATGCTCCACCACTGAGCCATGACCATTCCCTCAAAGGCTGCATCTGCTTGCATGAGGTAATTCTTATGCTCTGAGGGCCAGGGGTGCCCTGGCTTCAGTCTTGCAAGGTCTTTTTAAAAGGTCAGATTGCCCACCAGTTTATTTTACAATTACAAAGCATACTTTTTTGATTATTTAATTTCTATGCCGTTTAATATATTAAAAAATACCTCTGAGAGGTGTACAAAAAACTGAAGCAACAACAATTAAAACAAAATATTGGAAAAAGACAGTTGTTGTTGTTGTTGTTATATTATTATTATTATTATTATTATTACATATAAATCAGTACCAATTCAGTTTCCTCCTAACACACCCTCCCTTTCAGCCTTTGGGTTCTCAGCCAGGGTCCAATCAAACCCTCAACTCACCCATAGAAAGCTCACAACGAGAAGTTGTGGAAACAGTGGGTTTTATCCTAGTCTCTCACTCTAGACTTGCTTTTGTCCTCTGCCCCTCACCCTGCCACCGGAGTGGGGGGGGGTACGTGTGCATACCCGCCCCGAGCAGCACAGAGACACGCTCTACTGCTGCCCCATGGCTCTCAGCGCCCTCACCTTTCCTTTCTCCTGCCCCTGCTTGCCTCCTCCTCTCAGTGCGCAGGCAGATGTTCCCTTAGCAATCGTGCCCTGAGTGCTGCAGCGGCCCTGCCCGCCGTGCTACAGCC